TTTGCTTAACAACATTTTACGTTGGTCAATGGTTACAAACACAAGATTTGCTTTTAAAAAAATATCAATACAATCAAATATTAGGTTCATATATCTACACTAACACGAGATCTTGGGGGGGGGGGAGGGGGTTTTAGGATCCAATTAGAATATCCTAATTTAATATCTAACAAAATCACAAAATATATCTAATAAAATCAAACAAAATTCTACCCTCAAGAACTCTACCTATAAATATGGTTCATCATCACAATAATAAACTTCACATCTCTCGCTTCCTGTTTTTTCAGTATCATAATGTTTATCATACCAAACAGAAATTCTTCTTTCGTACTCTTTGAAAATATTTTGACATCAAATGAAAAACAAAAAATCAAAGCTCAAATTCTTGTCTTGTGGAAATCATTTAAGCCCACTGAAAATTCCATTGAAATAGTTTTGGTAGATAAAGAAGTTAGTTATTTATATGCCAATTTCGTACCATTTTTTTTTTAATTGAATTGCACACGCGTGATATATATTTTTGTTCTCATGATATGTTTTGCCTTTGACATGTATTTAATAGATTAATATTGCTTCTCTTCATATGTATTGCCTTCCATGAAAAGTAAGATTAATCCATTAAATATTGCCTTGCATTAAAAGTAAACTTCAAAGAAATACGTTAATCTTGCTTCTCTTGATATGTATTGCCTTGACATGCATTTTTTTCGTATGCCGATTTCATATAAAAATGCACAGTTGGTTTAATTGATTTGCCTCTTCTAAAGATGATATTTTCATCGAATTTTAAAACATTAGATTTTTTTCATACAGAGAACAAGAATCCACACAACCATTGAAGATGATATGCTTAAAAAACATCAGAAGGTTGTTAACGATCTCAAACAAGGTAATTGCGTGACGTTCAAAAATTTTCATCTTAAAGACTATTGTGACGACTATAGATCCCAATTCCATATTTACATATAAATACTTTACAATTTATAATACATTTGATTAAAATTTAACATATATAGAATCATGTTTATGCCCACACACGGTGCGGATCAGTTATTTAGTTATATATTATATT